CCATCCATCCATCCATCCATCCATCCATCCATCCATCCATTTATTCATTCATATTAAGTGCTTTAGTTTGCCATAGGATATTGTCTTTACATACAATTTCTTTTTCTCCACAGTCCACAAACAGTTGGTGTCATCATTCGTCTTGACAGAGACACCTTCCAGGTTCTAAACCAACATGGAAAAGTGAGTATAACAATCCCTGTCTGCCCTTCTTGTTTTATCTCATTGGACTCAGCATTATGTGTGATGTACATCACACTAAATTCCAATTCAACCTGTGAATTAGATGTAGCCTTGCCCTGACTTAGATCAACCCAGTGATTGTTTTAGGGTTTGATAGATTGATGTTTTGTTGTAAAGTAGTATTAATCCCATTTAATATCTGTAACCAGGTTGTTCAAGTCAAACATCAGGCTGTGGGCAGAAGAAGAGAGAACAGAGGTGCAGTGGCACTTGACTCAGAACAGGTAAAAATCTTTTGAATTTAAAACTTTAAACTTTATGTACAGGTGCTGCATTTGGAGGGAACCTCACGGAAGAGGTCCTTACAGGGAGTGATAGTTGTAAATATAAGAGCACTTTCCTCAATTCAAACCAGCTGATTCTGGCAGACAATTCTCAAATTATATGTACAGGGCTCGAAATGGAAAAAAATTCTAGCCCACCAAAGTAGATAAAGGAGGTCATTCCAATAAATTTTGCCTGCCATTTCATTATTCATTTGGCAGTGCATTGTCATTTTTGCCTGCCAAACCTGAAATTTGGCCTGTCATTTGGCCATTGGCAGGCCGCTATTTAGAGCGCTGTACACATCAGTTCTTAGAACTGGTCAGGGACGTGTTGGTCCAGTTCTAAGAACTGACATGTACCATTTAAGAACTGAACGCTCGCACTGATTGATTCCGAATTAATGGGAAGTGCACAAGACCAAGACCCTCCCCATGATCAGCAACCTAAAAATTTAACACATATGGGATTACACATGATTATTAAAGTCTTGCTATATGATGTTTATCTACATTTTTTTCCTCTACAGAACACTATTCAGGTTAAGGATATTGTTAAGGTCATGGACGGGCCACATGCTGTAAGTATATGCAGTTTGTCAGCTGTTTTTATCCCTTATTCTCTTCTGATTTATGAATTCTATTTCATTCATCTAAAATCAATATAGATAAATAAATGAACAAAGCATTGCTTTAGATTTCAAATCTGATTCATCTTTTACAGCACTTGAGGACACTACAACTATGATCTATAAGTTTTTTGTGCTGACTTTTTAAAAATTGCATACTATAAAATAATCCCTTGAGCCAGTAAATCCTTATTGATATATTTATCCAGCACTATTACAGTTGATTTCATAAAACTTCGGCCCTCCATGTCTGATGTTCGTTCGCAAGTTCACAACTTTGTAGTCAATTTCACTATGAAGTTCCGACAGTTTTTGGCGATCTTTCAAACTGATAATACAGTAGCTTCTAAAACTCATCGAATCTACCGTTCAAATCCAATTTTCAAAGTGAATTTCATTGTGACAAAAGGAATTTGACTCCATTCGTTGTCTGGAATACAATTTTCGAAAAGTATATGGTTTAAAGAAGCAATTCGAGTAAATATTTGAATTCTAGACATAAACAAGTCACGGTTGATTAAAACAATTTCACAAAAAGTTTGCAAGTTGGGCACCAACTTGGAGAACTTGGGAACTAACTTTGGAATTAAAGCGGCCGAAGTTTTGTGAAACCAACTGTAATATGAAATAAAAGATGACAAAAAGCGCCCTGTTATGATTCAATAACCATTCTTAACTGAACTTATTGATTTTGTGTTTTCCCTAGGGTCAACAAGGAGAAATCAGGCATCTTTACCGTAGCTTTGCATTCATCTACTCCAAAATGATTATAGAGAACAGTGGTATAATAGTGTGTAAAACACGACACCTCAGCCTTGCTGGTGGAGGAAGGGTAATTAATCTAATATTATCTATTAAGAGGAAATTTTTTTCAATAATGAGCAATAATGGCAAAAAGCGCCAAGAACTAGACTTTCGTATGAGTTTGATCCCAATTTTCGTTTTGGGTTAACACTCAAAACATGATAAAAATGATAAAAAGCCTGTTTGAAGCAGTATTTTCGATTGTACAAAGATGTTTTGTTGCATTTGTGTTAGAATGTTGCTTTGTCAGGCTTTATAGGAAATATATGGGAAATAAGCAAATGAAGGCCTAAACCTCATTTTCGATTAAAATGTTTGCTTTGGGTTAACACTTTGATTCCACTTTCATCAGTCATCTCCACTTCCAAACAAGTTAAACTTTCTGAATAACAAGATTTTAGCCTTGTACAACAGCCTTTCTTTGAGAAAATAGTTTTTTGCGCTTGCTGCTTGAATACGAAAAGAATTCTCTATTAATAAATTTAATACTGGTAATAACTGGTAATTATTTGAAGTCAAATAATCTTAGTTATTCTTATTTCTGCTTTTGCGTTAAAGGCTACAACCAATACCTTTGGTGGGTTTGGTACCTTTGCCCCGTCGTCGCCAAGAATCATGAGTCCAGCCAGAGACACAAGTATTCACATGATAAATTATTCACATACAACAGACCTTTTTATCTTAGGTGTAATTTTTTCCCATTGCATACCAATAATTGTCATTCTCTCTCAGTTTTTTGTAACCAAAATAAAAAAATAAACAAACTTTAACCATCACAAAAAAAATTATCTGTTTGCCATGATAATATTTTCCCATTTTAGACCATGTGGCATTCTCTTGAGAATATGATCTGTTTTCCGTAACCTAAAATTTAACCATCACAAAACAAAATATTAGCTGTTTGCCATGATTCTAGACCTCTTTAATTTTTCATAATATTTTCCCGTTTCAGACCATGTGTCATTCTCTTGAGAATAAGATTTTTTGTTTGAGTTCATGTGTCCATATTCATGTCTTCTCATGCACAGTTGTTAAACTAAGAAATGATATTCTAGGGAATGACACGTGGTCTGATATGAGAAAACATTGAACCTGAGTTAACGAGGTCTATAATTCAGCTTGTTTCGGCATTATTTAATCATGTATATTACTGATGATTCTTTATGTGTCCATATTCATGTGTCTTCTCATGCACGTTTGTTAAACTAAGAAATGATACTCTAGGGAATGACACGTGGCCTGATATTAGAAAACATTGAACCCAAGATAACGAGGTCTATAATTCACCTGGTTTCGGCATCATTTAATCATGTACGTTACTGTTGATTCTTTAGGTGGTGGAGGAAGTATGAGAGGTGGCCTTCGGTCACCCAGAATGGGTGTAGGAGGACGAGGAAGAGGAAGAGGTCGCGGAGGAAGAGATTCATCTATTATTTCACAGACAGTCAGAATCTGTCAAGGGCCATATAAAGGTAGGAAAATTGTACTTTTTTGGGATGAGTGGGAAATGAATGGAAAATGGGAAAATAGATAAAAAATGAATATTTTGCAATTAAGGGGAATTTTTATGAATAAAGATGACTTATGTAAAATGGGAATTGAAAGAAAAAATGGAAGTCATTGATTGACTGACACAAGCTCACACATTCTCAAACTCTCGCATCGTCTGGCTTACATTTACATGACTTTATAACAGTAATGATCCAGAGAAAATTGAATTAAAGAAATTTTGCTTTCCTATAGGTTATATTGGTATCGTCAAAGATGCAACAGAAACAACAGCTAGAGTAGAGTTGCACAGTAATTGTAAAACCATATCAGTAGACAGGACACGCCTCAACCCTATCAGGTACCAATATATGTTATATACTATAGTGTATGGACTGGGGAATACTTACCCTTAGTCTGGAATAGCTTGGATTACAGCATGTCGTATCATGTACGATTTACAAGTGTATAATATTTTCCTACTCAAATCATAACCTTTCTACGCCTGTCGTATCGTACATGCTGTAAGCCAGTATCGTATGTTTTCCACTCATATAAAAAACTGCTCTGTTATACCCTGATTACTTGAGCTTGATTTTCTTCACAACAAAACTAAACTTTATCTTTACAAATGACTATTATTTGTCATACAGTGGTCCTACCAAAGCTGGAGGTGCATCATCATATGCAAGGACACCAATGTATGGGTCACAGACACCCATGTATGGATCCCAGACACCCATGCATGGCTCAAGGACACCTATGTATGGGTCTCAGACACCCACCCATGGAGATGGTCAGTACTTTTGAGTATCTTTTTATCTATGTATATTCATGCCTAAATATATATATCGTTTGGATATCGTTTGACCTTTAAGACTATTTTGTATTCCATTTAGAATTTAGTATATTTACCATGTAAAATAAGTTATTTGTTATACTTTGGATATTTTATGTATTATATCTTAACCGTTTGTGACGCGCATTTGATCATATTATACATGCTTATTGGCACGTTAGAGATAATAAAATTAGTAGTAGTAGTATAAATAAATAGGAAAAAATGCAGAGCTGAAAACTCGCAGAAAAAATTTCTGAGCTGCAGATGAAAATCAAACCCGTGACCTGTTCTGTAGTTGGACGCTCTAAAAAAATTATTAGTATTAATTGATATTAAGAAATAAGCGATGTTTTGCTTKTATCTCTATTAACAGGGAGTCGTACACCTCATTATGGTTCGATGACACCGTCCCATGATCCTTCACGAACCCCATTGCACGGTGGAGCCTGGGACCCAACACAGCCCAACACGCCTGCTCGTAATGATGAGTTTGACTATGGGTTTGATGCGTCCACTCCTTCCCCTGCTGTAAGTAACACTAGTGATACTACATGTTGGGCAAAACAAACCAAACATCGACTCTAGAATATGAGATTTTCCAGGGCGCTCCTTGATAACAGCTTTGCTGACGGGCCTACCCTGGTAAAATATGTATTTATTATCTTCGTTTATTTAAACTTTCAGTATGCGTAACAATACTTTACAAGAATAAAGCGGAACTTTTATAGTTCTAGGCTATATCCAGTAGCGTAGCGAGGGGAAAAAAAAAATTTTGAAAAAAGAATAACAAAAAAAAAAAAAACATTAAACCGAAAAGAAAGAGGAAAATAAATTATTACAACCTACAAAAGTGCGAATTTATACGAAGTTATCCGGACGGGCTACCTGTGCACTGCGAACCCGGTCAGAGCCTGGAATCTGCACGTGGGAATTTGAAATTTTTTCTTATTTTGGAYCAGTGCCCCCCAGCTCCTAGGTCCTCGCTACGCCCCTGGCTATATCCTTAGTGTGTCACTAACAAATGTGTATTCAAAGGTGTAGAATGCCTTAACTATTTCGCAGTTTTGCGACATCACCCATCTTTGGCATTGTCTTATCAAGTTTTGTCCATCATCTATACCTACACTCTCCATATCATGTCCAAGTTGTTTCTTATAACCCGCTAGGAAATCTAGGACAATGTTTACTTGGATTATGATGATGATGATGATGGTGATGATGATGATGATGATGATGATGATGTGTCTCGAGTGTCTGGGATTGTCTGTCTCACATAAACATTAAATGTGCTCTAACAACTTTATTGGTTCCATTTCAGAATTATGCTCCAAACACTCCGAACCCAGCCACCCCTGGGGCTTACACAGGACCATACACACCCAACACCCCAGGGGCTGGTATGTACGGATCAGAGCCGACCTACTCTCCGTATACACAGTCCCCATCTCCTGCAGCCTACGGTAATCCTGTAACTCCAGGAGGTAGTATCCCTCCCGTATCACCGGCATATAACCCCCATACACCAGGTGCTGGACTTGAAGAAGCTGGGCCAGGAGAGTGGGTGACTACAGATATTGAAGTTCGTATCAACATGAATCACGAGGTGAGTGGTCTTCTTGTTGGTTGGTTTACCGGTTGGTTGATTGGTAAGTGAGAAGTCTTGTTGTTGGTCGATTGGTTGGTTGGTCGTGGTTGGGCTGTCAACAATTGATCTCTTGTCTGTCTGTTTATCTGTCTGTTTGTCTGTCTGTCTGTCTGTCTGTCTCTATCAGTTTGCCTGTCTGTCTGCCTGTCTATTTACCTGTCTGTCTGTCTTTCTATCTGTCTGTCTGTCTGTTTGCCTGTCTATCTGCCAGTCTTTCTGTCTTTCTGTCTTTGTAAAGTAAAGAAAAATAGAGTAGAAACATCAAATATATATTTTGCATTGACTTTCCAATCGCATTGTCCGATGCTTTTGCATAATTTTCGGGGAATGCGCAATACGGCTTATAGCTGTGTTATCGTCACCAAAGCCACAGGGAGCCCAAACTGATTAAATTCTAACTTTCTTCCAGGATCCTCAGTTATTAGACAATACGGGTGTGGTCCGTAACGTTAATGGTAATATATGCACAGTCTATCTATTCGATGAGAAGAGAGATATCAGTATCCCTGCCTCTAATATCGACTCGGTAGAACCATCCAAATTAGAAAAGGTAACTGTGACGTCATTGTTTTAACTGATATAGAACGTGTTTTGTGATTGGTCCAGAAATTAAAATATGGACAATAGATTGTTGGGAGGGGAGGGGAGGGGATAAGAAAAGGGCGAACAAACTTTGTCTTAATCTTCTACGCGCTCGAAAATGCCCCGAAATAAAAATATGTATGATATATATTTCATCAGACGTTCAATTTCAAAGAGGAAATAGGCTTCTTGCCTTATTTTTTCATTTCGAACCAATTTTCATTCCCTTGAGCGTTATGTCTTTCTTGACAAGACACGTTATTGGACAAAAATATTTTTATCAACAAGTCCTGAAGTGGTTCACAATATGTAATTAATTCCATTCACAATTCTGAACTTTGGGAAACCCATGCTGCTAATTCAATTTTTATTCCTAAATCCTAGTCTTCGAATTTCCATTTTTCCAGCGCAAAATTCATCAAATAGTCCCACTTCCTATTTTATCTCTTTTCCCCAAATTCCCTAAGTAAATGACAATCTTCAAAACTACCAAGCTAGAGGTTTATTGCACTATAAAGGCGCAATTACACGGAGCAATTTTCTCTGCAACTTGTCTCGCAACGGTGTGGCGACACAGGTTGCACGGAGCATTGCAGCGTGTAAACTACAGTACAATTTGAAAATATGTTACCAGACAAGTTGCAGCAATTGCTTGCGTCTCCGTTGCATCGTGTAAATGCTCATGCGACTTGTCTCGCAACACCGTTTTGAGACAACTTGCAGAGAAAATTGTCCCGTGTAATCGCGCCTTAAAGGAAAAAAGCTTAATATTGTTATTTGTATTGTTTTTTTCTAGGTGAAAGTGATTACAGGTGATGACAGAGAGTGTACCGGTACCCTGATTAACATCGACAACGACGATGGAATCATAAAGATGGATAAAACAGAACAACTCAAGATCCTGCCTCTGAAATATCTGGCGAAGATAGCTACTGTCACTGAATAGTTGTAATAGAACTATAGCTCCTGGTGTAGTGTATTGCAATGAAAACGAAGACCGCTGTGTGATATCACTAGGGAGTCTCTCCCGTTAACTAGATTGAAAAGATGTTCTTATTATGTGAAGGGATGGATTTTCGTGCTAGGAGTATCTATTCTTGCTTTGCGCTGAAGAAGAAGAAAAAAAGGCGGAAAACAACTTACAATCTCTCTCTCTCATTTCAGAAAAGCGTCGCTATTAATCTTGCGCGCACGAAAATAGAAAAACTGGGCCCGGTTGTACAAAGCCTGGTTGGCGCTATCCGACGGAGAAATCTTATCCAGTGGATAAATTTATTGGATAACAGCATCGACTTATCCACTGGATAAGGATTTATCCGCCGGATAGCGCTATCCAGGCTTCGTACAACCGGGCCCTCAAGTCTAATTCCAATTTTTCCGTTCGCTAATTTCTTAGTCGCTCGCGCCACGAAAGAGCAACACTCTCCCATGAGAAGACGAGAAGTGAAAAAAATTCCTACTTCTCCTTCCTTCTCGCCTTACACAGAGAATATACTTTCTCACTGCGAAAAACCGATGATTGTAACATACTATTTCCCATTGTGTTATTATTATTGACTCGAGAAATCTAGCAAAAAATGGAAGGAACGCAACGCGCAAATATTTGTTTTCCAGACTTTCTGATTTAAATGTCTTATTCTCGTTCTCAAAGACTTGAAATTAGAAAATTGTTGCAGTTCTTTGTGTTGTTTGTAGTCTTTAGTTTTAATCCCCGCATCTCCGACACCTCAATAATATTTGATGTAATATTAATAGCATTAAAAAATCAATCCAGATTTTGGCAGGACTTGAGCTAACTTGAAAATTGTTATTCAAACATAAACAAGCTTATGATAATAAAACGGTTCTTAATAGCGAATATCCTTGCTGCCTTTTTATAGATATCTTAAACGAATACCTTAGTTTACTTGAAAATGTCCTGTATTGTAATAAAAACACGAAGAATGGCTTGCATTAAAGAAGTATTGGCCAGACTCCCTAGAATTTGAGTGCTTATACCTGGGAATCTACCAAAGTTTTTTTTGTCGAAATATCAGTGGATGGAGAGCCACACTGAGAATACCACTACTAAATCCTATTTCATTTTAATCCTTGGTTGAAATTTTAATTTAAGCTTCAGGAATGTCTGACTTTTGTCTAAAAGGAATATTTTACGCAAAACTGGGACATAAAAGGGGTTAAATTCACATTTTTTTTTTTTTTTTTTTTTTTTTTTTTTTTGTTGTTATTTTGCGGGTGGCTACTAGAGTAAAGCTATAAGA